AATAACATAGTGAACAGTCCATGTACCCTTCACTTGATGCTTATTAATATTGTATCTCATTTGCTTTTGCCTTTTTTTTTTTTTTTGCACTTTGAAGAAAAATTTGAGCATAGTTGACATACAATGTTACGTTAGTTTCAAGTGTACAGCGTAGTGATTTGACAAGTTTATACATTATGCTGTACTCGCCCCAAGTGTAGCTGCCATCTGTCACCATACATGCTAGTACGGTATCATTGACTATATTCCCTGTGCTGTACCTTATATTTCCGCAACGTATTCATTCCATAACTAGAAGCCTGTATCTCCCGCTGCCCTTCACCCATGTTGCCCATCCCGCTTTGTCCTCTCCTCTGGCAACCATCTTGTTTTTTCATTTATCTGTCTATAAGACGTGTGGACTGATTTTTTTTCCTTAAAATATAATACTTTATTCCTATTTCATCATTTTCTATCCTAGATTTAGCCAGTGAGACATACTTCTCTGGCTCCTGTGCCCTTATCGTGTTTTTGTTTGCTTTTAATTAAAAAAAAAATTTTTTTAGCATGTCCTTATTTGTTTCATCCTGTACCTACTCTACCCTAGCCCTGGAATCAGCCATTTTACCAAGACTCTTGGTTTCTTTTTTTTTTTTTTGTAATTTTTTTAACATTTATTTATTTTTGAGAAACAGAGAGAGACAGAGAATGAGCAAGGGAGGAACAGAGAGAGAGGGGGAGACACAGAATCTGAAGCAGGCTCCAGGCTCTGAGCTGTCAGCACAGAGCCCGACGCAGGGCTCGAACCCACGAACCATGAGATCATGGCCTGAGCCGAAGTCAGTTGCTTAACCTACTGAGCCACCCAGGCGCCCCGACTTTTGGTTTCTTTTAATAGACATGTATTAGAGACCCAAGTCTGGGGGCCACGTGTGCTCATAACAACTGGACTGCCTTTGTTTCCATAGTCTTTCAACAGAGCTGGGAAACATATGCATTTACATGCACATACACATACTTACATTCATACATATACATCTTGTAGAAATCACGAATTCACATCAACACCTCTAATTCCAGTCCATCCCCAGAGGGTTCTTCCTAGTCTTCCTTTGTTCCATGTTTCTGTGTCCCTCCTTCCACAGTGAGGACCCTGGCTCCCAGGAACACGGACACATTTACTCAGTTGTTAAGTCCTGTAATAAATCCGAAATGATTCCAGCATTGTTTTGTCCATAGCACTACAAAACACAAAACTCCTGCAAAGAGTTTAGCATTTACTTGTGGTTCTTCCCTCACTCAATCCTGCCCAAGGCTGAGAGCAAACAGTCAAGGGATCCTAAGCTACCCGAGCTAGTTTTGTCTTTCTCTTCTTTATCGTTGTGGTATTTGTTTGAAATGCAACCAGATTCATTTGTCTCAATTGACTTCCACTTTAGGGTTATTTCCCCACCACCCCATCCTTTTTGATTTAATTGAAAAATTGTGATGTGTAGAATATTAATGTGGTTCCAAAAGTGAAAACTATAGAGAAAGGTATACTTAACAGTATCCCTCCTGCTTTGTCCCCTCCCTTCTATTTGTCCCCATTCTGCAGTTTCTGCTTTATCCTTTGGATACACCCTGAGGTAATATGCATGTTTCCTTATTTCCCCCTTTTTCATACATAAAGGGTAGAATACCAGGTGCCTTTTTGTTGAAGCCTTTCTTATATCTTTTTTTTCCTTTTGATCAAATGCACCATAAATAGAATTCTGATTTGGAACAAGAAGGCTTCTGTCACATGTTGAGCTGTTAGATTTCTAGGCACTTGTAAAAAGTCCGATGGTTTGGGGGCACCAGGGTGACTTAGACAGTTAAGCGTCCAACTTTGGCTCAGGTCATGATCTCACAGTTCATTTCGTGACTTTGAGCCCCCCGTCAGGCTCTGCACTGACCGCTCAAAGCCTGGAGCCTGCTTTGGATTCTGTCTCTGTCTCTGTCTCTCTCTCTCTCTTTCTCAAAAATAGTAAACATTAAAAAAAAGTCAGATTGTTTCTACCAATAACTTTGTTAAATCAACTTTTGTAGTAGTGATTATTACTTAGTCCCTTAGTAATGGCTTCTAAAATGATGAATTCTCATGCAAAATGGAAAACTTTTTTTCTTCATCTACTGAGGCTGATACAAAATTTGGTGGACTTGGGTGGGAATTTTCTAGAATGGAAGGATTGTTGAGATGGGAATGGGTTATTTTCAACTGAGCAGAGAGGGGTACAGGATTGATGAGGTACTGGCTGGCCCATTGGGGTCACTCTGAGCCTAGGATTTCATGCGTTGTTCTCTGCTTCTCTGGGATCATGTAGTTTAGAGCCCACTCAGAGATGTTTGCAGTTTTCCTCCCTTTGGTATTTGAGAAAGCTCCTCTGATTGCCTTTTTAATGCCCAGATTCAGCAGCTAAATATTATATCTTTGAACTTCACATTTGCCCAATGCTTTGTGATTTCCACAGTATTGTCTTAATCTCCGTGAAACAGTAGAACAAGTATTGTGTTTATATTGCAGCTGAGAAAACCCAAGCTCCGAAGAGACAAGTGATAGAGCTGGGACTAGAACCCAGGTCTTCAGACTGAGAGCCCAGTGTGGTCTAGGTCCATCACAAAGACCCCTCCTCCCACCCCTCTTCCTTCAGCCTGTCTCAGAGCCCACAGGAGGAGATTTATGCTTGCAAATCTCAGTTCTGTGCAAATCAGCAAATGTTACATGTCTGTTGAGTATTAGACCATTCAGAACTGTCTAAAAGCAGTTCAGAGGGTTTACATCAACAACTTTATTACCTGAACTTGTGTAATAGCGACTATTACTTAAAATAAATGGGCCATAAGCCTGGCAATGGTTTTTATTCTCAGAAATTTTACTCATAGTAGGATTTTATCTATGCATGTGTTCCTGTGTCTCAACAACCAAGAATGTACAACAGCGATAGAGCTTGTTGGAGAGTTATTTTTTTTTTTTGTATTTCTAATGCAAAAAAACACTTCATAAAATACGATATTAAAGCAAAATCCTCTTTTATAAAGCCCTTAAATTTTTCTGGTAACTCTTTTGCTATCTTTGTAATCTTTTTCAAGAACTCAGATAGGATATGACTCTAGGAATAAGAATACCCTGTTTGTATTATAACCGTGTAAATTTCACACTTCAAGTTCAGAATCAAAACACAAAGATTTGTGCGTGCTTTTGGCAGACTATACAAATGAGGCCCACCCGGTTGTTCTTTACAATGTATTTAAGAAAAGGGACATGTTGACATGTAAGCCTCCAGGGCCCCCACTTCATTCTCCAGGGATGGACATTATGGATTGGGTGTGACTTCTTCAAAATTCATATTGACTTGGTGAACCTCCCCAAAACTGAGTTATGCATGTCTTGTGTCTCAGGAGGCCTGGGAGGCCTAGAAGCCCCAAATCGTTCTGAGGGTCTGGTTTGCATGAACAGCAAGACGCCGCCTGTGATGGCCCTTCCTACGTGAGACAGGAAGGGATTCTCCCTTGCAGGAAAGGCCCCTGGGTGGAGTGCAGAAAGCATCTGAGTCTTAATCAGCTTTGGCTCAACCTGCAAACCCTCTGAGATCAGCTCCCCTGCGGGATGGGCCCAGCATGCCCCATAGCCCTGCCCTCTCCTCATTTTTTAGAGGGGGAAGGTGGGGATGGATCAGCCGTGACAGAGCCAAGGACAGGTTCTGGGGCATTCGGGAGGTGAGTGACTGGGGAGCAATGAGGGTCATGCTTTTTTACTAGGCAGAGGGTAGCGCCTTGGTAAGGACTCCAGTTTTTAACTTGAAGCATCCGTGTCGCTGAGCGTTCAAGTACCTGTTAGTCCCTTTTATAGCCCAGGGTGGAGGGCGAGAGGGAAGAGAGACGAGGGGTTGGCTTTATGAAGGCAGGTCATTTCCCCCTTTGTCGGTTGTCTGGGTTGGGGTGAAGAGGTCCCTGACAGGGAGACGTGGGGGCTTCGGGCTGGCAGGACGGCAGACGGAAGGCGGAGGTAACCTCCATCAGAATCCAGGGCCGTGTGCGCAGAAGCTGTGCTGAATCTCATCCGCTTTTTTAGCAGCTTTTTAATCGTGCTTACGAAATCCATAATTCGTGTAACTTGGCTCCTGTAAGCATTCGCGGTTGGAAATGCAGATGGTTCCTTGTACATGAAAATTGGGTAATCATCCACCTGACTCCCAGGCTTGCCTGAACACATGTGGGATTCTATGTGTATGTGTGGATGTAGGACTGCAGACGCGAAAGGTGGAGTAAACAACGAGCAGTTGGGAACATTTACACGTCTGCCAAAGCCTTTCCAGGGCAGGTGTTCCCATAAATGGGCAACAAATTGTACTGCCTCTTCATCTCCTGCAGGGAAGACTTTTGGGGAAAGATCATGGCAAGAAGTGAGGGTTATGAACAACAATAGCATTTCACCAGTGCTCTGTTTCCTGCGTGGGAAGGGAGAACCGGGCCATGAGGGTGAGCTCCCTCCTGGCTCTTAGTTTGGACACAAGGGTCAGGAATGCTACCTTTGGCTGAAAATACTGAAGAAACCCTAAACTTGGTGCGTACCCTCTTTGACCACAGCTTAGCCCTCCCGGGTCCTTTCTCTTTGAAGTGTGATGCCAGCTTCCACTGGCATCTGGGGACATTCTGGGGGAGGTGGGGGACCTCTGAGTTCAAGCTAATGGCGGGGGGTGTCAGGAGACCCTCCATGACAGCACATGGTGATTTTGGCCTGGGCTCCTTGGGATTGTTCATTTTCTGAGACAGCGCATGTGTGTTGATGTGGTCTCTGCAGCTCTGACACCCACAGTCTTGCTTAGGAAGACACCGTCCTGTGTCCTGTCCACATGTGTGGCCTCTGTTGCTGTGCTTGTGTGGCTGTTACTCAGTGCTGTGTGTCCTGCCACAAGACTGTTGTGCAGCAGGACAGATGGCTCACGGTGCAGGTCCCTAGGGACGTCCTGACATGTGCTTGTTCTCTCCGCCTCCCTCAGAGAATTCTCAAAGGAAAGAGAGAAGGCTAAAGCCCGGGGAGATTTCCAGAAGCTCCGGGAGAAGCAGCAGCTAGAGGAGGATCTAAAGGGCTACTTGGATTGGATCACCCAAGCAGAGGACATCGATCCTGAGAACGAGGAAGAAGGAGGAGAGGAAAGCAAACGCAACAGTATGTAGCACCTTCCTACTCCTGACCAGAGAGAGCTTGTATGTGACTCACACCCCCGCCAGGCAGAGAGACGTCTCTCCCCCTGGCCCGGCCTGCGGTCACGTACCCTGTCGGCTGCCCATCAGAGAGGACAGTGTGTTCGTACCACGTCTAAGATTCTGCCGGAGGCTCGGGTTTTAGAGTTGTACCTGGTCACGTGGTTTTAAGGCAGAGGAGGGTCAGCCACACTCACCCACAGGGAATTCGGGAAGCCCCTTCTGTGTGGGCAGCAGCCGTGGGAAGACACACGTTGACCCTGCAGCACAGGACACAAAGCCACGGCTCCTTCCTTCCCTTCAGAGGGAGCTGTGTTACTGGACAAGAACTTGAAGAGCAGGATCCCTCTCCAGCCTCGTGTGGCCTGAAGTGGCCCCCACCTGAGCTCTACGTGGGGGGGGGGTGGGAGGGGGCGCAGATGCTTAGCCCATCAGGGGCTGGGAAGAAAGCAGCTGACCCATCTGGGCAGCGTTAGGTGGCGTAGGAGTCAGCATAGCCACTTGGAGCCCACTCGCCTGGTCGTCCACCCTGGTACCAGGCACCGCGGGCACTTTCTGCAGCAGGAAGGCCCGACGCCCAGCAAAGCCTGGCGTTAATTGCCATTGTCACCCAAGGTGTCTCTTTCACCACCTGCTTTCCTCACGGATGTGCCCTTACGCTTCCTGGGCCATCTGTGCCTCAGGTAAAAGCAGAGATTGACATTCAGCAGTGGAGTTGACTGAGACGCTTGGACTTTGAAGTCTAGAATAGTTGATGGTAAAGACCAAGAACATGTCTCAAAGGAGTGCGTCCCTCGAGAGGCCTGGGAACCAAGGCGGAAGGAGATGGCTGAGCGAGCCCCCTTGGGCAGGGGCCCTGAGACGGCGTGCAGTCACGCCTTCACTCAGCAAGGCGGGTGCTGGGTGTGCGGTCATCAGCAGTTTTCTTCTTCTGGGGGAGGGTAGGCCTGTGCTCACCAAGTTGCGGCACGAGGGGACAGAGGTGCGGATTGCGAGGGGTGGCAAGCTGGGTGCGGGGTGCCAAGGGGGACGATGGCTGGCTGCAGGGCTCCAGCACGGAGCTGTGAGGCATTGGCCCTGAGCCTGGAAGGATGGACGGGTCTGAGGTGTGCCAGTGTCAGGAGAAACATCCTGAGCCACGGCAGAGGTATGAGGAGGACACTGAGGTTGTTTGTTCCTTTGGCCGGAGCACAGAGGGTAGGCAAGGGGAGGCTGGGTGAGGGAGGGCTTGTGCTGCCTCTGTGCATATGGAGGCTAAGTGGCCCACGGCTGACTGAGGTGGCCTTCGGCTGCTTCCAGCTGGGGACTCTGGGTCCGTGCTTCCATGGGGAGTGAGGCCTTCCTGCTGTCACAGTTGCAGATGATTGACTTAGTCCTGTGTGCTCCTGGGGGGCCGGCGGGGTGCAGGACGCTCCTCTCCCCTCCTTGCTGCTTCCCAGCGTCATTGGTGCTGCTCCCTCGAGGAGAAGGCTAGGGACTCAGTGGCTGAGCATCAGGAGGCTGCCGGAGGATTTCTAGAGCTGACTTTGTGTGCTGACTCTGAGATGGGAGTTCACAAGGGGACTTTCGTCCCAGTTCCAAACTTGGTGCTGTCCTTTAGGTGACCGGGTGTAAGAAGGGTGTCTGCGTGTCTTCAAGGCATTTGAGCCTGAACTCGTGGTCTCCTCGCAGCCTCTGCACCTCCCGTGTGGCCGGCAATGAGTCACACCTGCAGCCTGGGGGATGCCTGCCTCGCGTTTCCCCTCTTCCTTTCCAGACTCCATCTTTGGTGCTGACCTGGGAAGGTCTGCCAGCCCTTCCCTCCCTGTCCTGATGTGACATGTCATGTGTGAGCCGACACAAGTGTGCCTTCTCCTGAGTGAGAGCCTTCCTCGGCCAGTTTAGCTGTGCCCGATGGGGGGTAGGGGGCCGCGTGAGCTTGTCATCTCTTCGTTGCCCCAGCTTCCTCGCCCCTGATAGCACTGCTAGCAGCAGCTGTGGTGGGACCGCGCTTGTGGCCCGTGGCTGGAGGAGTGGGTGTTTTCACCGGACTCAAGGCGATGGCTTCTGCTAGTCCTGAGAGACCACTCTGTCTTAGCCCAGTCCTTCCTGTGTCCTGCCAGTGTGTGTAAAGGACCTGGCCACGTGATGACAAAATCAGTTCCTCTGCCTTTGGAAACCTAGCTGAGGAGGGAAGACAGAGGGGGCGGTGCCTCAGCTTGAAACAGAACGGGCAAGCTAGCAATGTGATCAGGGGCCAGCAGTCTTCTGTGGGAGCCCCGTAAGGCACAGTGAAGCAGCCCTGGGAGGAATGCAAGGGAGGCTCCCGAGAAGAGGTGGTGTTCCTGCTGAGCTCAAGGGAGGAACAGCCTGTGGCTTCGAAAAGTGGCAGAGAGGAGGGTACCTCTTAGGCTAGGGAAATCGCACAAACAAGGTACAGACGGTTATAAACGTTCCAAACCCTTAAGTGCATTGCTTAGTAGTATAATCAAGGAAAGAAATAACCCACCTTTAAAAGTGGTAGATCTTCAGAGTTCACTCTGTAACCAGGACTCCCAACCCCACAAAGCTGAGCCGTATCTCTGGAACGTCAGCTCTGTGGTTTCTGCTGTGCACAGTGCCGTGTGACTCAGCCTGGGTAACCAGCTTGACCTTGGATACTGAAGAGCACACCCTTCTGTGGGAGTACTCCACCAGGTGCTGGGGTTTCCTGTGGAGTGAGGCTCTGATTTCCCGAGTCACCAGATGCCCGGAGCCTTGATGATTAGGATCTGAAATAAATACAGGGGCGCCTGGGTGACTCAGTCGGTTAAGTGTCTGACTTCGGCTCAGGTCATGATCTCATGAGTTCAAGCCCCGCATCAGGCTCTGTGCTGATAGCTCAGATCCTGGAGCCTGCTTCAGATTCTGTGTCTCCCTCCCTCTCTGCCCTCCCCTGCTTGCGCTCTCGAGCTCTCTCTCTCTCTGTCTCTCTCAAAAATAAACATACATTAAAGAAAAAAAAGACATAAATCCCAGGCTTTGGGAGCCATGTAGAGATTTAACTGACTTAAGACAAGAGCCCCAAGTCTCCTCCCAGCAAGGAAGTGGGCCTCCCTGAATACATTCCCAGCAGCCCAGAACTTTTGGAGAAGGAAAGCTTCTGAGGTTTCTCAGGGACACCCCGTGGTGGCCATCCATTTTCTTCTTGTCACAGCCAGAAACCACAGGGGAAGGGAGTTTCCATGAGGCCTGCATCATCCCCCTCATCAGCCGATGATGGTTGATTTACCACCTGCACACGCCAGGTCTGGTCTCTGTCACCTGTTGGCAGGCAGTGCAGGTGGGCATTGCCGGTGCCAGCGTGCTCCCTGGGTGTGTAAGATCCATGCCCGCATAGTTACCTCCCCAGCCCTGCTCCTGCATTTTCTTTGGGAAAGGGGGTGGGACATTCCCTAGGGATCCTTGCCTTATTCACACTGCCTTGGGACGTGTATGCCACTGACTGCCCTTTTTCAGCTGGGTCCTGGATGGGATCGGGACAGATTCCTTGCAGACATGGGGGGATTAAGTGACAGTGTGACAGGAAACCCTTGCTAAGCCTCACCCTGTACAAGCAAAGGGGGTATCAGAAGCCATTAATAAGAGGTCATGAGACTTTGGAGGCAGAGGCTAGACAGCATGTAGATGCCCCTTCTCTGGAATGGGCTATGACTGAGAATTTGGACTTGAGTGCTAGGCACACTACCCAGTGTCTCCAAGCCCCCATTTTCCTGTCTGCGAGGAGGGGGTAAAGATATTTGCCCATGGAATCCTCTTGCACCATTGGTAGGAATGCAAATTGGTGCAGCTGCTCTGGAAAACAGCGTGGAGGTTCCTCAAAAAATTAAAAATAGATCTATCCTATGACCCAGCAATAGCACTGCTAGGAATTTACCCAAGGGATACAGGAGTGCTGATGCATAGGGGCACTTGTAGCCCAGTGTTTATAGCAGCGCTTTCAACAATAGCCAAATTATGGAAAGAGCCTAAATGTCCAACCACTGATGAATGGATAAAGAACCTGTGGTTTATATATACAATGGAATACTACTTGACAATGAGAAAGAATGAAATCCTGCCGTTTGCAGCAATGTGGATAGAACTGGAGGGTACTATGCTGAATGAAATAAGTCAGTCAGAGAAAGACATATCATGTTTTCACTCATATGTGGAACTTGAGAAACCTAACAGAAGACCATGGGGGAAGGTAAGGGGGAAAAATAGTTACAAACAGAGAGGGAAGGAGGCAAACCATAAGAGATTCTTAAATACAGAGAACAAACTGGGGGTTGATGGGGGTTGGGGGAGAGAGGAAAGTGGGTGATGGGCATGGAGGAGGGCACTTGTTGGAATGAGCACTGGGTGTTGTATGTAAGACAATTGGACAATATATTACATTTAAAAAAAGGTGTTTGCCCATGAGATTGTCATGAGGATTAGATGGCCAGTAACTAGTAAGGGTCACTATTGCCATAAGTGTACTTACTACTACTGTTGTCATCAGACTGCAGTAAAACTTGACCTACACAGAATTATTCTTGCAGATTCTACAGGACCTCTGAACAACCTCAGGCTAGGGACCCCTTTTAGGAACACATCCCTGTACTTTCCTGTTCAGAGACTATACGGTTCTAAAGTATTGGTGGGAGGCAAACCTATTGACTCAGTCACGTTTGAGATACGGAAGCATGGCTTTCTGGTTCAATGTCCATTTGTGGTTGGTTGATGCTTGCTGTTGGAGAGCAGATGTCAAATCAAGTGCTTAGAGCTGCGTACACATTATCTTTTCTCTCTAATCTAAATGTCACTGTCTGCGTCTGTGGTACCCAACTCTGGCTGTACATGACAGTCACCTGGGGAGTGCAGACACATCCTGATGCCATCACTCCACGCCCACGAAGACTAGTTTGTATGCGGCGGGACCCAGGCATGATTTTATCTGCTGGTCCCTGGAGGTTCCCATGT